AAAAGCAGTACTTCATTTAATTTGTGTACTTTTTAAGGTGTTCTATGGTATTTTATGCATGAAGGTAAAATCTGATAACTGGTTTAACACTTCCTGTTTCTAAATAAAAATACTACATTTTACAGACAAAAATACAAACATCTGAAAGCATTTTTAAAAAGAAAACTATTTTTCTTTCATCTGTAACCAAGTTGAATGGTTTTACTCCCGTTTACAACTGTTAAAACATGTTTACACCTCCGACTGTTAACAACCATATTTACTGGAGGTTTTTTAAATGAAACGTCTCTCAGCACTGAAAGGAAATTAAGCTTTTATTTTCTCTCACATTCAGACTCTCTCCTGGTGTTTCTCTCGATATTAAAAAAAAAAAAACTCGAAACGTTAGATCTAATTTTCGTGTCACGTTGATGCTGCTGGTTGTAAAACGTAGCCGGTGTCTGTAGTTTGATTGCCGGAGCCTMGTTTTTTCTGTGACACTGAAAAACGGTGGATTCACGCGGAGCTGGAGGCCGACAGTTGAGGAGTAAAGGCTTGTTGATGGAGTAAAAACACTCAGCGTTATAGAGTAGAAACAGCCATAACCAACAACAAATTACTGTGCTGCTGCTCCCTGTTGAGACAAATGACAGTGTGTGTGTGTGTTTGTGTGTCTGTTTGCTCCCTCTGTAATAACAACAAACYGCAATCGAAGCAAACGCACTCAGGAGCAGCTGTCCTGGCAGCATGACAATATACAGCTTGACTAATTACAGGACCACACACACGGTGAGAAGCTCTTCACTGTCACTGGTGAAAACACTGCTCCTGTGTTTCAGMGGGGAGACATTTACATGAAAACAAACCGAAGCAATTAGACGACAAAGTGCCGGGTTCAGACATGATTATAGACGCAGCCAGAGGTTGTGTGGGAGGCCGGCTCGGTGCGTGTCTTTAACAGGCTCCACTGCTGAAACTAATGAGAAGGTGASTTTAAAGAAGCACACGTCTTCCTGGAACAAAGAATATTCTTCAATAACGCCACAAATAACAACAATCTTCACAGATTCACACTCCTGCTGCGACTTTATTAACTCAGTGTGTCGCTTTCAAAACCAAGTGTTTATGGAAACCTGAAATAACTTTTCTAACACAGAACAGGCTGTGTGAAGAGCCTTCCCTCTGCCCTCCCATCGAACACGTTCAGGTGGGCTCACATGGTGACGAAGGTAGGCCTCGTCCACACACAAGCTTAGCTTTTTATTGTTTTATTTCTTAAATACCTTCATYAAATAAGTTCACACTGGTGTGTTTAATGCTGCAGCTAACCTTCGGCCATAAAACACCTTAAAAAGTACACAAATTAAATGAAGTACTGCTTTTGAACRCTTTAGAGTAAATTCACAAGCTTGGTCTCTTTTTAAAGCTAATAATCTGAATTTTT